CTGCTGCCGATATTTGCTTGACCTCAGATTTTGGCACTTTCTGCATATCTGGTCGCTTAATTGTATTCAAGCCTTTTCGGTTCACTTTGCGCGCACTCACGATGACAAATTCTATCATCCCACACACTCATCGGCGCGCATAAAGAGGCAAAAACAGAAGTGCGTGCCGATGCTCTATCGGGGTCACATGGAGAGCAAATCCAGCGGAATTGTTGTGTCTGGAGGAGAAAGTCCTCCACTGAGTTGGTGGGCGGAAATGTTCCGATGGATTTCATCATCCCACTCGCCGGCGCGGACACTGATCCCGCTCAGTCGGCGGCCCCCCGGCCGGCCGCCGGAGTGCTAAATGTCGCAAGATGGTTTTTTTTTCGCCAGCGCCGTGAATCCCAGCTCGTGATCTCTGCGGCCGCGAATTCCCCGGTGGAGATCCGCGAAAGAGTCCCGCGTGTGTGACTCTGGGCAGAAATGAATTCAGATGGCCATAAATTGTCCATCATACGAGCCGGCAATTGTCCGCCAGAAGCCCCAGAGACACGCGGGCCGGTCGGGGAGGAGGAGGAAAGGGCCTCGCTGACATTTTTAATGGCCATCTTCGAACTGGTGCATTGGGAAGGCCACAAAGGCAAGCAGGAGCGATCACTCGTGTCGCCCGCAAGACAATGAATGAAGGGTGATGGATGATGATCTGTCGAAGAACATGAGGCTGCGCTCCGGACCCCGCAGGTCGTCCAACTGAGGAGTAAACAGAGGAATTTCCATAAATACCCGCGCACTTTTCAGCCTCTCTGTGTCAACCGCGCATCGGAGGCGCGGAAAAGGAAAGGGTGATGCACATGTAAGATCTTCATTGCATCCTCGTGCAGCGCACTAAAATTAGACGCCTGAAAATCACTTGTACGCCCAGTGAAGGCGGAAGTGAATTCATTCATATTTAGATCTTCGCTTTTCACCGCCCCGTCGCCTGGCCGACGAGTTAATTGACTCTCCGACGAAGCATGATTCAATTTTCCTCGCTACGCTTTCCCATTCAACAATTCATTTTCCATCTCGCAGAAATAATGCTCTGTCTGCGCCCATGAAGATGAACGGACGAATTTTGGTGGCAAATCCGCGGCAAATATTTTGAAAAATCTTATCTCTGCCAAATTCGCGCGGCTTCTGATTAAAAATTCATGTGATTGGCAATTCCTCCCGTTCCTCAATTCTCATTCTCGCACAGCAATTAAATCTCGTCCAAAATTGGCTGTGTGTGGAAATAATCTTGAAAAATCCTCCTGTCTTTTTTATGTGTCTCCATCAGAGAATTTATAATTCTTCACGGCCACCATTAATTAATTGATATGCTTTGTCCGAAAAAGAGTCAGCATTTTTCCGTGTGTGGTGTGCATCTCAATTTCTCTTCCCAAATGGGTCATAAATCAATATTAAAAATCTTGTAGTATTTATTTATTAATTATCTCTCTTGCCTATGTGTCCAGTGGTCTTGCATTGCTCACTCCTTCGGGAGTGTCTTCGGTGGAGGCTGATAAATGGGAAGGTGTTTGATAAAAAGAGACGATTATTGAGATATCAATTTTGAAAGTTTGATTGATTAATTTACACAATGGAAGACGAAGAACCGTCGCAGAGACACACATTTTGTGCCGCCATTGATGACTTTCCGATGGCCCCAGATGAGAGACTTCCTTGCGCGCCATCGCGACTAAATGTATCCATATCGTGGGAGAGCGAGATCCACGGCTAGAAATTGTAAACAGCAGAAGCATTCTCGAGATAAGATGCGAGTGAGCAAGAAGAAAAGACACCCAAAAATAGACGAGGAGGTGGAGTGGAAAAAGATCAAAATCCCAGAGACGCAATCAAGTTGAAATTTAACATTCATTTAAAGATCGCATTTCAATGATGAAATGAGGGGAGAAATAATTCAACAAATGTTTGCTTTTTTCTCACCACTTTGGCGTGCTGCTCACCCGGGCCGTAGACAAAACACATAACACGCGAGAGTCCATAAAAATGATGTGCTTTTAGCGAAATAAATAAAAAGGCACCAGCTGAAAATTGGGAGAAAAAAGCGAGTCACTTCAGAAGAATTATTTCCGACACTTTCTGCACTCTGAGCCACAATGGCACTCTCGAAAAATAACTAATTAATTGCGACTCCCATGCGTACATCGCGCTTTACGGCACATCTGATGGCGCACTTCTTCTGCTCAACAGCCCGAAGAGCCATCATCATCTCAGGTGACGTCTTGATGGTTGATTCTCGTGATGAGCCAATATTCTTTTACCTACTCCCGGTCCAAATTTAGAAAGAATTAGCCCAAATTGTGGGCTCTTCTGCTTCTCATTTCGCCACTATGATATCTCATTTGATGCAAATTGAATGTCACTCCTATAATTATATGGAGCCAATATAAGAATGTGCGTCATTTGTCGTTTATGGTGGGTCCAGCTGGTAAGACAAAAAAGAACATAATCTCAATGGTAGTGGAAAATAAACATCTCCTCTGTCCTCTCTCTCTCATCGGCTTTGATATAAAAACCACATTAACACCTGATTTATGGGATCGGGGAAAAATCTCCGCGGAGCTTTTTGGACTCTCTTTGGATGATCTTCACCGGATCTTCAATGGCTCTGCGTGCTCGCCGTGAAATATATTCAGCCACCTTTTGAAGATGATTTTTTTCAGTCGCAATATGAGCCTGATAAAGTGTTTTGTCTCTTCATTTAATGACCATAAAATCTTGATATTATCCTATAATTTTCAATTCCACTTTTATCTCATCTTCAAATGCTTCGCGACGGACTTTTTTGCAAGCGAAGAGATTAATGAGACAGTCGTACGTCAATTGAAGAAATTGGGCAAAAACTTCTCCTTATTAACTGACCCATTGACGCACGAAGCTATGCAGTTATGTTTAAATGTTGGCGATGCAAAAACTTTTATTTTCATTAGTAACTTTTTGCCCTCTTCTGGCCAGACCTTAAAATAACTTAGTAATATAATTAACACTAAAACCACTTCCCTGAAACGATATGGCGAAACTTGATCGTAATGACAATAAAGCAGCAATTTAATGGTTCTTACAATAAAGGAAAGTCTTGGCAAAGTTTCGTTCCATCACATTTTTAGTACATTCAATCAATTAATCGTTTACATCGGCATAAAGAGCTTCTTTGGTAAAAATATTTATTCAAAATTTTCGGAATTTTTCTTAAATATTCATAGACTTTTATTAATTATCAAGATTAATACAATATTTGTCATACCTTTTTAATTTTTTTGCATTTAAAAACTGAGGAAAAAGGGCATGTTGAGTATGAAAAGTTTATTTTTTGGAATGTGTTTTGAGACTGTTAAAAATCACTTAAGAAACTAAATATTATCAGTTTCTATTAACTCTATCTAAGTTAAACCAAATCTTACTAATACTACACAGAAAGCATTTTAATGAACGATTAGAAGGTGTTTTTATGGTTTTGGAAAATTTCGCAGAACCAAAAAGACGATTTTGACTTTCCATAGTTTTCGATTCACCCGTTGAATTATAATTCAATTAATTCGTCTCAATATAACATAATCTTCAATTCTACATTCCTATAAGAATTTGCATTGAATTAGCTTCAGATCAAACAGTTTTAACTCTCCTTTATCTACAACAATGTAAGCATCAAACAAGTTCTATTCCTAATTAAAAAAAAAAAGAAGAAAAACCCATTCTCAAACGATGAAATTTCCAAGCTTTGAGCACTCTTGGGTGGCTGGAGAGATGCGCCAGGGAGACACGCTCTGCCCAGGAAGTTCTAATTCTGGCATTTGACTGATCACGGGCTGCCTGACGTGGGGACAGGCCCCATCAGCTAGTGATTGCTGGAGACAAAACAAGAATCAGCGATTTGATGGAAATCCGGCGAGACATGGCAGTTGCATAACGCGGGAGAGGAGCTGAGATCCTAAAAATACCCGGGCGTTGGAGTGCACGTGACCGCGGAGTGTCTATCAACTGGCGGGGCAACTACACTCCGCCAGCAAAACATCTGTTCGCCTGTGCTGATAATGCTGGGTGAGACAGCTAGGCAGTTGGGCCTTTTGGCCGCCTTATCGCGGATCGTGTGCCTCGTAAAAATAACACCAAACACACTCAACATCCCTTATCAGAATCACACGCAGTATCGACAAGCCGTGTCCATCATCCGGCGGCCGAGCCGGTGTTGCAGCGATCGGAAATGGCGAGGAACATTTGGTGGCGGAGAGAGCTGAAATCTAATCAATAATTGCGAGATAATGGACTGACAAAGTACAGGTGTACGTTTTGCGGAGTGACTCGGCAATGGTTGCGCTTAATGAATTTGTAGATTATCATGGAACCTTGCACCGCTTGCACAGCATCTTTCGCACCCAAGTCACAAGAAGGCATCTGAGATCAAGGAGAAAGCACGGAGCTGATAAAGCGCTGTATACTCTTGCAATTCTCGAGATCATGAGGCCAATATTAAAATGGATTTTGAACACTTCTCCTCGAAAAAAAAAGTCAGCGAACACACCCCGAAGCTCAAAACTCACCTTTACCAGCTTCAATTATCATCAATTTGCTTGGATTTCTCGTCATCGCGTCGATCTGGATGTCGCAGCCCGCGTTCCTCTCCCGAGATCTTCTCATAAACGCGCAACACTCAATTTCAATCTCTCTCCATCCGATGATATAAAAAAGTGTGTGAATAATTCCCGATGCCGAGACTGCCGCGAGCCGCAAATTGACAAATCAAACAATTATCACTGCGAGATGATCATAATTTAATACACCATCCTTCCCTCTTGCATGTGATCCTCGGCCAGGCCAAAATTCACTCTCTTGGGTCTTTATTTAATTTTCACCATGAATCACGACTCAATCTGCTGAGGAATCATAATTAAAAATTAACACCTCGCCTGGATTGTGGATGACGAAGTCGCTGAGAGGGCGATGATAAATAAAAGACAAGCGGTTTAACTCTTCAGTAAGATTTTTCCATCATTTATTTTTAGGCAAATTTTATCACAAAAATGTTGGCGATCATATCTCTTTCATCGTCATAAATTACTTATCGCGCAATCTACAAACTCTACTTCTTCACAATCTCCATCCACAAGAATATTAATTAATTGTTTTTATACAGTAAGACTTCTTAATATTCAACGGATACACCATAAAAATCTATGCGACTGAATTAAAAGAATCTATTTACACGATTTTACTCTGTACATGACATCTTTCCACACACTTTCCTCACATCAAGCATAACTTTCAGCTGAGTAACATTTTGCAACATTCTCAAATATAATTATCTCATACCAAAAGAAAAGAAGAAATAAAAACCAAACATCAAAGTAATGGAGGGACAATGCGAAGGTTATAAAATAATTCACAAAATAATATAATAGATCAACAGAATAAAAATGGCACGATGTTGTGATAAAATGACCAAATGACAAAAAACTTAGAAATTAATTTGTACTTGGACTATTAATACATTTTTTCGAAAAGAGCACAGACTCCTCAAGTCAGGCGTTTCCATCAGTTTTTGCGAAATATTTCGTGATCCAACCTGTGAAATGACATCTTAATACTTTAAATTGGAAATTATTTTACTGAGTAGCGAAATTTGTGAGAAAATGGAAACGTGACTATCATTCATCATAGTCTGTCTTTCTCTCTCTCTATCTCTGTGGACATTCAGTGGTTTTCTGTCTCCACCTCAGCTCCCAAGATTAATTAAAAACAGTGACGTGTAACTGAATCCGAGCCTTGCAATTAATTGTATTGTCAAGAAGTTTTTCAGAATATTGAGTTAACTTTACTCCAAAGTGAGCACCGATTATTGTCACAAGTTGTTACTTCATCGGATCCTTACTCGTCCTTCTTCTTCCTCAGCTTCCCCTCTGTCTGGATGGTCTTCGTGACGAGATCCACGCACTCGTCAATGGACGGCGCCGAAGCGTCCTGGCTGTAGTCCATTCCCGCCACCCGGCTCAGGGTCAGGATGTAGGAGCAGGCTATCCTGAGCACGGACAGCTTGGACAGCTTCTGCGTGTGGGAGTAGGAGGGAATGGCACGTCTGAGTGTGTCGAAAGCGGCCGAGATCGTGTGCACGCGCGTCCTTTCGCGTGCGTTTGCCTCGATTCGCCTCTCGCGCGTCATATTCTTGTAATTCCTCTGCTGCGCCTGCGACGGCCGACTTCCACCGGGTCGCACTGGAAAATCGCCAGATCCCTGATCTTCAACCTCTTCTTCTTTGATCCTCTGAGCCGGAATTGGTGTGACGACTGTCTCTGGCTTCTTCTTTGCCACCAGGGCGAGAGGTTCCACCTGATCGTCATCACTCTGCGGCAGTCTGTGCAGAGTGGTCACGGCGGGATGTCTTCGGAAGATTTCAGCTGGATCCACAGGACACGGAGGCAGTCCATTTGCCGCCACCGAGGCCCATGGCCGGAAGGGATTCTTTGACTCTGTTTTCACCTCCGCCGTCTTCATCTTCTCCTCATAGCGGATCCTCTTCTTGATCGGACCCAACTCTGACTCTGCCACACAGCGCAGAGGCTCAGAGCTCTTTCTTTTGTTCTTGGGCAGGCAAATAGGAGTGACTTTAACTTCTACTGAGTCTTCGGACGCATCAGTTGGGCTCTGCGGCGCCTGAGCATGATCAGTTTCGTCCTCAATTTCAGAACTACCTGAGCAAAAGCCCGCGTCGCGGTCCATTAGTGATGACATTGAGGCACCTGGAATTGAAGCGAAAAGGGATTCATTAGCACTTGCCCAGAAGACTTATAATTACTCTTACAGATAAGTCGCTGAACATGTGTGACTTTGGATTATTCCATCGCTCTAAAATGAGGAAATCACGCTAATTACCGACGTCGTTACTGCAATTCATTGAGGCAAAAGAGCATTTGAGGCCTGAAGTACGCATAGATACGATTTCAGAAACATCTTCGAATAGAAGTTCATTGCAAATGGGTTAAGAAATTGAGTCTAGAATCGCCAATCCATCGCGAGGGCATGACAACGGGGGAGTCGTTCGACAGTGCGCTCTTGACGTGCTAATTAACTCTACTAATTGACGATGCGAGGGCCAAATCTTGGCAATGTCGCAGCCAAGTGCTCTCTACCTTGCACCTGTCCCAGTGATTCCCGACATCTCAATTTATTTTCGTGTGGCGCATTTGAAGCGCACACAATTTAGGTGTGAAGAAGCTTGCGGCCGCGTGCGCTACGGCAAATTAGCACTTGTGAATGTGTGATTGAGCGCCATTGAGCATTGGCGATATGCTCGTCATCGCACAATTGTGGCGACGACCGTCGCCCATATGTCACAAGGCGCAGCATTTCTCCCGCCGACAGCCACGATGGAATCACTGGCGAGACGCTCGCCACAATCTGGCGCCATTCGCAGCATATTTTCGCTGCACTTTGCATCTTGCACTCACACACGAACGCGAGCTCACCGCAGAGCTGGGTCGATAATGAAACTCTAGCCGCAATGATATGTCGATTGAGAGGCGCACACGTTGGATCGCATTAACCTCAAGGATGAAATCTTCATTAGCCAGTTGGATGCTGAGGCGGCTGCACATGCTTTCACGTGCGCCGTCGAGTGAGTTCCGCAATTTTTCTCCCTGCAATCTTGGTACATGAGAACCCGCGCGGTGAGTCCAAACAGTGTTCTGATGAATGGCCACGCCTCCGCTTTTCTGGCCACTTTATCACGAGCATGTCGATAATGTGCCGATTTTGGGCTCTCTCGCCACAGGAGCGCCTTATCAGGAGAGACCCGAATAGCCTCTTATCGCTCTCCACTGGCGAATTTCACACGAATTTCAGTCCCTCAGCTGGTGAGATATTAAGGTCAGGTGTGCCGAATCGAGCCAAATCTCAGCCCACTCGCACTTCTGCACACCCTGCAATTCACGAAGGAATTCCTCTCTGGCACTTGGCGAGAGACCATCTGTGACGGAGCATAACGAAATCATAACCCGAATGTGATTGACTTCACTTTCGAACGCTGAAATCGTCGCTCCTTTCTTATTTTATCGTCTCTCTTCGATAATCATTCTTGTCGGTGGCTCCCATGCACCTCGATTTATTTAATTAGCGTTTTGGGTGAATTCATAATAAAGATATTTCTCTGTCCTCCACTTCACATTCCAACCGATAATGCCCCGGTGATAGAGACAAAACTTTTTGGCGCCTCTATTTGTCTCGAATTTATGTAAATTTTACGATTTTTTTCTCTCCTCTTGGGCGGTTTTTTCGGCCCGAAAAATGTTTTAATCACATGACGCGCGCAGCATTGCAACATCTCACCAATGGAATTTTTTTACGAGACGATTTATTCATGAGAAAAAATTGCACACGATCCGCGGGTGAAATTGCGCGAAAGATGTCTGGCAGAAGAAAGAAAATTAACACCCAAAAATCATACTCTTCTGCAAAATGCAGCGAATGAATTCAGGACAAGATTGACGATCGCAAGAGAAATCTCTTTGACTCTTGCTGCACGCGTTTGTGGGCGCATTTCCAAAGGGGGAGATAATATGCATTCAATCACAATCTAATCTAGGTATTTCTGTCTTAAGAAGTTTAAGCTCTTCAAATATTAGATTTTGAGGGTTTTTAACCGCCAGAATCCTAACAGACACCTAACACTTCCGCAAAAGCTGTACGCCACTTCCGATCGCAATATCTGCTCCTTGCGCACTTCAAATGTGTGTGTGTGCATCAAATTTTTTGGGAAAAAAGCATTTGATTCTCATTTGTGAATTTCCTGAAATTTCCAGAACCCGCGCACTGGCCAAAAAACGGGTTTCCTGTTCGCACTCACTCGCGAAGGGTGAGGTAAGAAAACTGCCCGCGGAGGCATTGAGGCTTTTTTACGACTTGTTGGGCCGTTTTTTTCTCTCGCTCGGCCTCTCACTCTCTGGACCAGATGAGGCTCTGAGTGCATTGCATCGGACGGGATACTAAAGAGATCTCTGTCTGTGCTGGGGCCGAGAAAAAAACGAGCGAGAGAAAGAAATAAATGGCGTGGCGCTGAAAAAGCAGTGCTTCCAGCATGGAGAAAGATCTGCCATGGAGTGAATCCTCTGCAGATCAAAGGGTTATCGCCGAATTGCTTGGTCAGTCCATTCTGGGTGTAACACTCCCAAGAATTCAATGGGGCACACGAGGCCCGGGAGAGATCCAGCCGAGAGATTGGTATCTCCAATCGCGATTATTGCGTTTGCCTTTTGTGAAGGCAACAACCAAAGTTGAATCATCTCTCCTCTCCATCTTCCCCATCTTCTTCCATGGGAGAGAAGCTGTGGATCTATCGCAATTTACAAGACACTCAGTCCGCCCACTTTCCTTCCTTCGCCGCCTCAGCCATCTGGACAGTCTCGGGGAGAGGAAATTGATCGAGTGAAGGCTCTTGTCAAATGCAAATGTTTACTCCATCGCCACAGCATCTGAACTCCTATTAATTATGTGGCATGAGTCGCTCGGGCACCTGAGGTGGCCACTTGCTCATTGAATTCATCCGATTCACCTCCGCCACTAAATCACCCAACTCATTATACCGCGAGACAGCCACAAGAGGCTTTTCGCTAAGTGGCCGTCGCAGTCTTTTTTCCGCCCATAAGCATTTTCTCGCGCCGCGCGGCCTTAAAAATCACACACAAGTTGACATTCTCGTTGAGCCTCATGGCAGGGAATCTTCGCCGTCACAGTGTGAACCATCCAATCCAATTGCCACCAGTTCCAACTGCCTCCGCCGACCTGGCGCTTCCCTGATCACCCAATATGGACACCTCCAGTCGCTGGCATAAATCAGCGCGCCCGGCGCAGCTTCTCTTCTCGTTTTGTGTGTCCACTGATAAGGAATCGCCCCTGTTGAACACGGATTTTGACTGAGAAATTCGTCGGAATTTCCATGAAATCCCGCCATTCAACTTGCCACTCGATCATGACTAATGACAATATGGGAATCTAGATCTAGACAGGTCACAATGGAGGTTGAATCGCGAACGTAAATCTCCCTGATTTATTCCACAAACGCGGATGCCGAAACTTATGGATATTCATTGAAATTTTTTCGCTAATGGTCGCGGGGACAAGGCGGGAAATTTATTAAGTTTCGGGCGGAAAGGATGATGCTCTCAATCTCAGAGGCGCTCCCTCGATTCTTGCTCTTGATTCTAGCGGTGGTTTTAACATAATTTTATGGAAAAATAGTTTAAATCGCCAATCTAATGACTAATTGGTCTTTATCAGTTCTATTTTTTTCCTTAAATTGTGCTAAAATGGGAAATTTCGCGCATGTCGTATCGGTAAGTTCAGTAACTTACCGAGATTATTCAAATGGTTTGACCGGAAAACGGATCTTCTTTGTGGCAATCTCCAAGACAGCTCGGAAAACACACAGTCAAAATAAAAATCTGCACAAATATCATAACTACTCGAGATGATTAGGGGAGTGAGGCGACTGACTTTCGCCATATGCTTAGAGAGGAGCTCCACTCGTAGAATCTCCCAACCATCTGTTTATTTATTCGCGCTCCGCACAAGATGCCACTAAAACTTCCAGATGGTTTGCCAATTGGCGCCGACAATTGCAATTCATCCGAAATGACTCTTCGCACATTTAATTTTTCGGCTCAATCGCCTTCGTGAGTATTTCAATTTCCCATGCCACAGAGACTCTCCTCGCCAAATGGCACTTTGACCTTCTTTCACCGCAACGCCATCGCCTCTCACTCGCAGAGTTGAGAAGACACTTTCATGGTGGACATGAGCGGGTGTGAATTTCTGCAGCGTCTGCGTCTGCCCTGGCAGACGAATAATGAAAAGACAAATTGTCGCATTTATCCAGGCAGGAGTGTGTGGCGATGGTTTAAAAAGAGCCCATTAATTCCTTTCTGGGCAATTTCTGTTGTCGTCACCGCCTGCCAGACACACAAATTCCCCAACACCAATTTTTGCCCATACACCATCGCGACGATACATGCTCGTGGATGCTGATTAAACAAGTTTATCCGCGCGCGCAATTAATCACAGAGCCGATAATTAGCATATTTTCATGAATGGCGCGAGAAAAAAGAGTCGCGTCACCCATGTCACCAATTAATTACCAACAGTCTGTGCACCATCGCGACATTCTATTTGAATGTTGCCCACAAGTGGTGATTTCGGATGAAATATCGATGGATTGTGAGGCTGTGTCCGTGTCCCACAATGCCTAATTGCCTAATTAGCTGGAAATGTGCGTCCCAGCCCCGCCAGACACAGTCTCGCGGCAACTTGCCTCATTTCTTTTCTGCAACACCGCGCCTGATTAGAAGATTTCGCGCGCTTTTCATTCACCTCCGTCAGCCACATTGCACACAAGTGGCGAACATTACTCTTCGCACCACGAAACATTCTCGAAATGATTTACTTCACGGCGAAACTGCACATTTGCAGCTCTATGGAAATGTCTTTCAAAATGCAATCCAGCACATCCAGTTGACCTATGATCATTCCAATGATGACTAAAAACACCCCTTTGAGCGCATATTTATCACGCTGCGCTTTTTTGCAACAAGTACACCACTTCTTGGAATACCTCAGCGTCTCCGCGTATTAAATTATAAAGCAGTTTTCCGAGTCAAGAGCTCAATTAGCTTCTGCCGAGGGAATTCAATGAAGGCCTCTTTAAGTCTGTGTGGCGCGCAAAAAAGCCTCTTTCTCTAAGTGCCCATTTGTTCACCCACAAATGGTAGAAATTATTCAGCAGGTGGCAGAATGTGGAAAAAGGCATGTTGAATTTCCTTGGAATATTGGCGAAAAAAAACAGAGTCTCAATGCCCGGGAATTCTCGGCGGAGGTGGTTTTGTTGCCACTTCCTCCACACAATCACGGCCTCTTTCATCGAATTGCTATTCCGTCTGCATACCGAAATTTATATTTTATTGGCGCCACATGCAAATGAGACACTCATCTATTATGGATATGTATTCAATTTTTGTGGCTGTTGGTCTTTTTTGTTCGTCTCTCCCGCGCAAAGTGACACCGCGCGCGAAAACACCACTGCACACTCCATTATCTCATGTTATCATATCTGAAGCCCATCCTTCGGGCCTCAGATGCTACAGCACAGCTCGCCCAAATGTTTGGCTTTTCACACACGGCCAACAGATTAGGTTTCATGCGCGCGCTTTTCAGCATCATTTTCACAGCCGGAGCGAGAGACGAAAATTCCTTGGTATTTATGCTGGCGCCATGTGGCTCACCAGTGCGGGAGGATGGGCTCTTGGGGATGCTCCTCACCGTGCTGTCGGGTGTCCTTTCGCCGACGAAATGACTAACATTTTCCGTCGCCACTTTTATGGCTTTCACACTGAGTCAACGCTGCGCGTCTTTGCGTCCCAAATACGATAGTCTCTGGCTTTGGCACATTTTTCGCTTTTGGCGACGCTGAGCACCAAAAATGGACAAAGCGAATTGTGATCTCGAGGAAAAGCGAATAATGGGCATTGACAGATGAGCCATTTCACAGTCATCATCCGCTATTTAAGTGTATTTCGGGCATTCTGGGTGTGTAGCGAAATTTTTGAAACTGTTTATTTGTTTATCAATATCTCTATCGACAGATAAATCGAAAACTATCAATAGTCGATTAATCTTTAGGGTCATTCATTCTTGCTCAATTTCAGAAATATTAGTTCAACAGCATAGCTTAAATAGGTGATTTTACCTAGTCAACGGCCAGTGCAAAGAAAACACCAAATTTGCCGATACAATTTTAATGTCAACCACCTTGTGGGCGTTTCAGACAAACAACTAAAAATGTATTGCAAAAAATTAACCAATGTTCGAGGGTCAGTTTCGTATATCATTTTCTAGTTGGTAATATAATTGCTTGTTTGACAATCTTAAATAATAATAAAAAGAATTCGTCTGATCTCTCGAAACGCATAAAATATTCATCATTCAACATTTCGGCTTCTTCACAAGTCACTGACTTTTTGCACGACCTCGCATCTCCGAGTCCCCCTCGAGATGCCACATCTGAGCTAATACCCTCAAAGTGTTGGCATCAATTTCTCTGCGGGGGTGGAACACACAATGACCATCTGGAGCTCGAGCCAGTGTGACTCATGCCCAAGAATCCCCCCAAAACATTTGAGCAAGTTGATTATTTATGGTAATTAATGATATTGAAAAGTCTATGAGGGAGACAAAATGAGGAAAATCGCCCAGAGAATCTCCATCATTTTCATGTCTTCTTTACGACTTTGCGCGGGGTCAAATGTGGAAGTTGAGGAAAAATGTTAATTGCCGTCATTGAAGATGAGGAAAATGTCTCCCAGATGCTCTCACACTTTTCCATCTGACACGCTGAGATGTGATGTATTTTTGGAGACGCTCTGACTGAAGTTTTTTTGTCGGTTTTTGGGGCCTCATGCACTTCCATACGAAATGATCTATTTTATGGCACACCAATCACCTCGATTTTATCTTCTTGGCAGACGCAAAGGGGAAGCAGAAAATGCTAACATCCCGACTTCAGTGGAAAATCACCACAAAAATAGAAGGATTTTCAGAGGCATTCATTATATACGATATGAATTTCAGCAAAGGAAACTTCCATGAAAGCAGGCGAGAATTGCCACAAGTGCACAAGAAAGTTTTAGAAATGCACACCTGAGCAATTACTCCCCATTGCAATTATCAAATTATGGTATTATTAAGCAATTTGTCGCTGCCTTTTCTCCCAAGCAGTTGATCTTGTGGTCAGAGTGGCGCTAAGGAAGTTGCTGAGAATTTTGAGGTAAATGAGAATAGAATCTCACCATTTTCCTTGAGATGACTCTTGGCTTGAGGAAGGGAAAATCCCATGGCAAAGAGATGTCCATTCTTTGTGTCACTCAACGCGGAACACGTCTATTTATGCCAAGATAACACTGAAGCGACTCAGTCGCTCAATGCTAGACTGGCAATTCTTGCAAATTATGCGTCACCAGTGAGAACTTCTTACGCATGGTTCGTGAGCAAGAAGAGACCCGAGCACGAGAGTCACAGGTGCAAGAATTCGTGCAAAAATTAATAATTTTATGAGTCACGTCTTCCACATCACGATTCACGCCTTGTCGGAATGACTGAAATATCTTCCACAATTGTTCAGCTCTGCGGGGAAGTGGCCACAGTCGCCGTGAAAGTAAACATTTGTCCCATAGAGTCATCAATTGTGTGCGGAGAAGTTCCCATCAGCGCGTGAACCATAAAATATTGCGCCTCTACTCGGCGATGCTCAATAGATTCTGGCTACGGATGTGTGATGATTTAGAATTTGCTAATTTCATAACGAATCACCTCGTGACGATTTACACAAGAGATTGTCAGAGGAATGAGATTAATATTCACACTTTGGCCCCAGAGCAATAATCGAGAGAGATTTCCCACCTCGCGCGTCTCCTCTTCGCCACAATTCAGGGTTGTGCACTGACATGGAGATTGAGATTCTCTACATGCACTTACGATTGCCGAAAACCTTGAGACACTCTTGTCAAAATATTGCCAGAAACCTGTTTTACGGTCTCATTGCACCTGCAATAAAGACACCTTACCCATAAGGGTTCTCATGGAGGCATGAAAATGACCTTCTGAGAAGAAATTGCTCTTCCTCAATAAAGCTCAACGTGAATTTATTAGCAAAGGACCTGCAATTCTTGACGCTCAAGAGGTAGAAAAGCCACCCAACTCTACGCCATCATCAGCCTGAGAGCACTCTGCCTCCTTTCAGTAAATTTATTCGAATCACTTCACGCAAGAAGATGGATTTATGGGCCCCATCTCTCTGCCTTCTTCCCGCAAGGCTCTCGCGGTCACAGGCGTTTTTTATATTGAGCTCACGCTGTAAAGAATTTCACACGAAAACTCACGTGGGTGCAGGAGTGAAAGATGGGTGAAATGGATCATTGAAATTAATTCATTCCTCGAAGCGATATTAATCTCATCGCGCCTCGACTGAGCGGAATTCCTCTGTCACACAGCATTCTCTAAATCGATCAGGGCGCCTTACCTTTGAGAAAGAGTGCAGAGAGTCCGGCCGTGGCGATCTTGGCGTAGGTTGGATCGACGGTTCTGTCCGTTGCCATCTTCGGGAACTGGATCACGGATCACTTTATCCTTTCTTCAAACACTTCACGTCACTTATCCTTGCTTCACCATCAACAGGATGCCACACTTAGTTCGCGATGCTGATTCACTGTCTGAGAACTCTGTGGGTTTTTAGCTTGAGTTTGGGTGCAAGGGAACAGCTGCGGTCTGGAAATTTGTCACACAAGACACGCGGGTTTTCCCCCAAAGAGCGCCAATCCGTGAGACGTTGCGATGATACAGAAGCAGGAGCTGCTGAGCTACCACTCTCGTCCGTTGCTGAATTGAAACTGAACACACCATGGCACGGAGTTGAGAACCTTTGCCGAAACGCTCCGCTCTCGCACGTCTCCGGCTCTCTCTCGCTCTCTCGGAGAGCCAAGTCGGACGAGAGCAAGCAAGAGAGGCCCGCCGGAGTGTTGGCCGAAGCGAGAAGGCGAGCAATGTGAACAGATGTGAGTGCCTGTGATTAGTTTCTGGTGAATTGGTGAATCATATGGCGTAGAATGAGTGCAGCAGAGAGAGGGAGAGTCGGTACACTTGTTCCGAAAGCGCCTCTCTCGCTCGCGCTCTCACAAGAAGCGTGCATCTGAGCGAGAGGGCACTTCCGGGCGACTCTGGGCACCAGAGCGAAATGTAACATGACACAGCTGGCGCCTGTCGCCGGCCTACGCAGAATAAAAAGTGTTATGTGAGAGAAGTTTATGGTGTTTTTCTCTTCTCCTTCTTCTCCTGGGATGCACGGGATGCTGTGTGTGCACGGTCTCCATCTCAAAACCAGATACATCATCTCTCATTAGTCCATGAGAACACAGGCCATACGTGGGGCCTGGATTCCGGGGGTAGGGCGAGGAAGGCCAGACTTTCCTACACCCATCGCCATTTCCGGACTGTGTGCGACGCGACCCCCTTTGTCCGCCCAACTCGTGGCCACTGAGGAATTGCGGAATGTGTTCAGCCAACACGGCAGAGATGCTGAAGACACCATTGTCGACACTTGTTTGCGATAATTGGCACATTTCATGTGGCTTTCCTCTCCCCCAACATCCAACCAAGGCGGTGACATAGAAAAGTGTCAATCGACCATCACGGATTCCCTTGAGAAAGTCAACCCATTCGAACGTGTCTCTGCACTGCAACATTTTCCGCCAAACACGATTGTGACTCAGTGAATTCACAGTTTTTTCCCAGTCTGAGCTGAAGAAGTCCATCCCTTGGCCTTCGAGGATTTGGGAATTTTTTCAAATTTTGATCCTTATCTTGCAGAATTGCCATAGTAATTTTTCCTGACAGGCAAGGAATCAGACAAAGCAATTGCCAGTACATAAAATAAATATTTTCAGACATGTTTTCTCAGGTAAAATTGAAAGATAATGGTCTCGAGCAGAGAGTTGGGCCTCAAATATATAGATTCACTTGATACAAGTTAGTTAATGCGTTTATATGTCGAAGGAATCTCATATAAAAATCATAATTACACCGGTAACTTAAGCTACAAAAAATCTGATCCAACATTTAATTCATTTTATTTAATGCGCTGTTATTGCTTGGATGCAAGTGTAGGGTTTGTCTTATTAACATCCAAAGGAGATTTTGCCGAAAAATCAAAAGGTCAGAATTTTATTGCAGCTTCACCAACATGCTCAACGTTCTTAAGTACCGGCCTTGGGTACCGGCAAATGCTGAGATTAGTGGTAATAAATGCACTGCGAATGGTTCTTAAGGTAAGTCTAACTCTTCCTGAAATTCCTTAAGGTACTTCTGATAAGCATTTACCTGTTCACATGCATTTTTTGTCTCTTGCAGGGCAATAAAGCCGAAGAAAGAGTCAGGAAATGCCATTGGCACGACCAAAAAATTGCCTCGGAAAGGTATATCGGGCAATCATAAAGAGGTTTTTAGCACCCTGAGCAGTTTCAATTACCAGCCGGGAAGGTTTCGTTTGAGGGGCCATAAAAGCCCTCCCAAGTGGGCATGCAAATGACAGGGGATGATCTTGAGCTCATGGCCATGCGGAGACAGATATTAGTTCGCCCACAGGCGCTGGAATCAATTTTTGCCTCTCGCAGGCTCTGTTTTCGGAGATGTTTGCTCGAGGTGGCTCCAGTGAATACAAACATGCTCGGCCGAGGCCAAGAATCCAACACAGTATCGCGTCTGGGCATCACTGGGTCGCTCTTTGGCACTTTATCTCCCTCCGTCTTGCTCAAAAGTCTGTGTATAAACAAGAGAATGGCTCCTGAAGATTGCATCGTGCTTGCGTGGCTCTGGTGCGACTTGTCGTGAAATGTGGCTGGCACTTTTGGCCAGCAAGCGCCAAAGATGTGACAATTCTGATTACCAACATTCGCCTTCCACTCTCTCAGATCGCTGGAATTGCCGTGCATGAGGTGTCTTCCTGCTCTGTCGCACACACGATCCACTCTTGCCCGTTTGTGCGCCGAGTGACCGGAGACAGTTGCCAAGGAGGGATTGCAGGACATGATTGCTTGTGGCCCCTCGAAATTGCCCGGAATTTGCGTAATTTAGACAAATTGCCCGATTTCGGAGATACTAGAGATAATTGTTGGCGATTGAGGGCTGAAAAAGTCTGCATGATGTCGCGAAGGACAAGGAGAGTTCTGTCCTGCGACGATAGTGACTCCCGTCACCCATCCGGAGCGGCAAAATGCCAATAAAGCGGAAAAAATTCCACGGACAAGTTGAAGAAAAAGAAAACGATGCCGAAGACAAGAGCGGCAATGAGGCGGGCGCTGGAAGAGGTGATGCGATAAAAAGTTGGAGCCTGTGGGGCTAAGCTGCTGCCACTGGCGATGTTTTTCGCGGCAGCAGCCAACATGAGCATGGCACTCCACTGATAGATGCCATGAGTCCAGGTGGGACGTCGGGTTGGAGGGCCAGACGGTTTTTGGCAAACGCACTGCCAATTCCATATGCGGACTCTCTCTTCTCTCCAGTTAAATGGCAAGGATTCCATGTGGCGCATTTCCTCTCCTCCAACTTGGCTCCTCATCCAGCTGGCTGATGCTCCTGCACCGAGTGCCCCCGCCACCCCCGTGACCCCGACGTGGAGCACATTTCGCGACCATGTGGCGTCACCGTGGTCAAACGGCGGGACAATCGGTCGCTCCGAGATTACACATACGAGCGGCCCCACATGCGAACGTGATGGAAATACATAAAAGGGGAGACACTGAGTACATAGACTGCGTTCGGTGTCATCAATAGAGTCACATCTCTCGTGTGAGACGTTCTCCGCTGAGAATCCAGGACGAGGCATTCCGTGTGAGCGGAGATAGAAATCATGCCATTGCGGCCGAGGATCTCCCTCGCTCTTGGCAGCTTTCCCTCCCATCGGTCGCCACTTTTCCCCGCGACGCCACACGGCTGAGTGGGAAATGCCTTGACGACTTATTGATCCTCTGCAAATCTCCGTGAGAAGGCCATTTGATGCAGTACCGCGAGCAGGAAAATCATAAGTGCTTTAAATCAAAGGGGAGACATTATGCCTTCAATTTGCACATAACTTCGACAGAACTGGACAGAAATAATTAAAACCCTTAGATACTCCGCACACAAAGGGATTTCGTCATAGCACAAAATTATCCGAAATTAATTATTGACAATAGTAATCCTTGATATATATTGAATTAATATTGCTCTATTAATTAAAATAAAAAATGTATTTAACTCGTTTTTCTAATCTCCTTTATGTTTTCTAAATCCTTACTCGAAATTGTACAGCGTGGTGTGGGAAAAGCCACTGTTTCTTGAATAAATAATTAAAAATTTCTCTATAGAATCTATTACGATGCTAGCGGAATATTCACAGCCACTGATTTGAAATATCTACACTACAAATTTGAAGAAAGTCTCGAAGAAAGGCCACTCGAAATTGCATACTAACTTCTAACGCTACTAAGGTCGCCTGCTGGTGCTGAAGTTTCCAAGTAAGGCATCGTGAAATGGTTTATGAAGATGCACGCTAGTCGCAATTAAGCTTAGTACCATTTTGCATACACAGCACGAGAGTCAACATTGTTCACTCTCTGTGCCGAGCGAAATTGGCCTGAGAGTATGCGAAGACAATGTGCTCGTCAGATGGGCTAGGCGAAGAGGCAGCGCGTCTTGAGCACATTTTCGCCCATCTTCCATGGAATTGAGATATTTATGGGACAGAGGAAGCCCATGTCTTCCTCTTTGTCGCACACGTGGTCGCGGCGGCTCTTTGAAGCATTGTTGGGCGCACTGTGGCTCTCATTAGGTGGCACAAGATGCCGAAGAAATTGCAATTGAGGACGCGATGAGTGGGTGGCTGTATTTTCACCTCATTTCGCTCCAAACCGCGTGACCACCAAGCCAATTTCCATTCAATCCCACATTGTTCGCCGCGCGCCAGCAGAGGCGCATCTCCACACTTGGGACTCTTGGCCTCTCGCTGATCATTAATTTCGCGGTGCTGAGCGCGAAATTCTCCACCGCCAAATGGCAAAGTGGAGCCCCACCAACTGTGCCTGCCCGCCAAGATGTGAGCGTGTGTCGTAAAATATGTCCGTGGCACCTCATCAATTTGCAGATTGGGGCAAAAATATGCTTCGACATCCACCCATCAACGCACCGGCGAGGAATGTGTTTTCACAGAAGCCCCACACTCGCGATGCCCAGGAAATTGATGGTGGCAAATAATGCCGGGGGGATTTTCGAGAGCATTTTGAGGCAAACACTTGAGCATTTTCATCTATTATTGCCTCGTATTATTGTTATTTCTGTTTTGGAGCTAACTAAGCAGCTTGGAAGTGTTCAAAACGCCAACGAGTGAACATGGACCAAAAGGTGCCTCCTATAAATACTCCGCGCGCGCGATGTTTTCTGTTGATTCAGCTGTTCCGGGGAGACTCGACTCCGAATTCCTCCTCGCCAGGCACAATCAATTTTTAACACCCGGGATGAGAGTCCCGCGATTGAGGAGGTGGAAGAGCGTTATCTGAGAAAGAGCGCGCCCTGAAATAGAACTCCCACTCCGACAGTCACTATTTCACCCATTTCTACCCATGCAGCTTCTCTCACCTTTTGCCCCGCACTCAATGCGCCCGCCGGATGGCGAAGAAGGTTGGAGAAGGAGAGGCACAAAAGCCGAGTCATTTGAGGTGTGATGAGATTCTATTTAGAGATGATTCACTGAATGATTTTCGATGCTTCACGCCAAATGAGATGCCGCTAAATGGCATCATTTGTGGGAGGCAATTTGTGGGAATCACCTGGAATTAATTTGAGAAAG